AGATCTATGCAAATCGTATCGCGAAAGTGAGGGCGCTGCGGTAACTGCATACGTAGCGCGTTGTTTAGTTGTTAGCCCCCAGGGCAGCCAATTGGAGTCAATGATCAATTTACCAAGCATCCAACCAGAGAGCAGCCTCTAAGCTCTCAGTCATGCCAAAAAACCTTGAAAATTTCCCACCCTGACGAAGCACGTTAGCCACGCCTCCCTGATTCCATCGTCCAACCAATCGCCGCCATGCCACTCAGCAGAATGAAAAACCCCACTTTCGTCAAGTTCTATCAAGACATGGGATTGAGGACTGTGTTACAGTCCGGATGCCCAAAAGACAACGCCTATTCTGTTTAGTTGTTGGAATTGCCAGTGTATGGGTCAACTGCCTGATTTGGACGCCTTCGATCGTGGACAAATCGTAGGTGCGAGATGAAGGGGCCGTTCAATTTCCGAAATCGTCAGACAGCTGGATTTTTAAGATTGACTATGTCAAGAGTATACCAAGAATACATAAATGGTGGACAAAACACTAGCGATCTGGCAAACTACAAAGGGCAATAAACCTTGACAGTACGTGGTGAGCCAGGGAAGCCAAATTACCATCCAGTTGAATGACGGTGCCACAGTCGTACAGTCATTAAACAGACTCGTTTCACAGCATGTGTTTTAGGAACCATCGACCTACGTGAGTACCATTGCTCAATGTCGGGCTGCACGTCTTGCCTGGGCAAGAGAGCACAGAGACTGGAATGTACAGAACTGAAAACGAGTAGCATGGAGTGATACGTCTCGATTCCGACTACGTTCGGAATCATGATTTTAAAAAAGTGCATAAATGAATAATTTTCATGATATTTAGTGTCACTCAGATTAGAATGTATGCATAAAATTGTTTTAAGGACATTTTGACAAAAAAAACTTATTTAAATACAATATTTTGGCAAAAAATTAACTTAGAATAATCTTTTTTCCAAATGTTCTCCTTTTGTGAAAAATGGTTCTATTATAATAATATTTTGCCTGTATATAGCTCAGACCTCTCTACAGAGGCTCAACTAGAAGTTTTGAAAAATTCACCTTATTATCAGAGTGACCACCATTTGAAAAAATTATTCGCTTTTTTTTTTTTTCTTAAAATTGCTCCCCTCTGTTGTCGTTATACTTCTAAGTTATATATTTCAAAAATTCTAGTTGAGCCTCTGAAGAGAGGTCTGAGCTATATACAGGCAAAATATTATTCTAATAGAAGCATTTTTCACAAAAGGAGAACATTTGGAAAAAAGATTATTTTTGTCAAAATATTGTATTTAAATAAAAAAATTTTGTTAAAATGTCCTTAAAACAATTTTATGCATATATTCTAATCTAAGTGACACTAAATATCATGAAAATTATCCATTTAGCCGCTTTTGAAAATCACGGTTCCGAACGTAGTCGGATACCTTAACGCCGAATAGGGCGTCAGGCTCATGAAGCCATGGATCCTGTATGCCAGGTTGGAACTGTACAAGGGCAGGGTGGCTCAATCATGGTTCGGAGTGTTTTTTCGTGGCACTGTTTGGGATCTTTAGTGCGTGTACCAACCTCCCTCAATGCAATTCAGTATGTAGAGTTGCTGAGGGATCACCTCCATCTGTTTAAGCTGTTCTGTTATCCGCATGGTAATAAAGTTTTCCAGCAAGAGAACTGTACCTCTCACAAGTCCCAGTTGGCTACTGGCTGGTTGGATGAGCATTCCTCTAACTTTTCTGTCATAAATTGGCCAGCTAAAACCCAGATTTAAATCCTATTGAGCATCTTTGGGATGTCTTGGAACAAGGCGTGAAAGGCCTTCCCACAGCACCAACGAACCTTGCTGAATTATGGACAGCTTCAGCCGATATTTGGCAAGTCATTCCCGTAGAACGTTTCGAGAAACCTGTTGAACCTATGCCTCATCGTGTGGCAGCCGTTATCAAGGCCAGAGGTGGCTTAACTCGTTACTATGTAGGTATCCCTAATTCAGTGTATATTCGAATAGTAGCTTAAGAATGTGGATGAGAAATTTTGTAGTTAAGAATTCTTCCATTACCCTTAACTGACAACTTTACATTTTTCATTTGATTCTTAAATCAAGCAAACATTTTAGCTTTTGCATTGCTGTCACATTTAGAGGAAAAATAGCATTTAGCCTTGTAGCAACAATAGTAAATTTGGATAGAGGTTATATTTAAGCTGTTTGGTTTTTAAAATGCATAAAAGAATCATAAAATTATTACTATACATTTTGACTGTTAAAATTACCCAAATGATTACAAAAAATAAATTTTGTAAAATTCTAAAAGGATTCTTTTTTTTTATTTTGAAAACAGCTTTGAATTTAAGCTAGCTTTTAAACTTCAAAAATACATTTAATTATTATTAAAATTCCAGTGTTTTAATTTTCAGGATTGTATGTTGGTGTATTAATTGCTGAATTTATTCTTGTGGCATATTTGACTCTTAGCCCTCCAGAATTCATGATCCATTTCTTAAATGTAAGTATATTTTATAAAATTATAAAATACTGCTTAATTTTAAAGTCCATGTTAAATTCAATGAGCAAACTTTTAAAAATTAAATTTTCGTATTGTATAGACATCTTTACTACGAACGCATACAATATTAAAAAAGTAGTGAATTTTTTAAAAAATGAAAAGTATTTTACTATTTTGCTTGTTTGTTTCTGTAATTTTGAGTAAATTATGACTGAATCTTTCGTTTCGAGCCTTTATGTACATGAACTCACTACTAACAATGAAGAGGCCGCGGTTACCTAGGGGTTATGGTCATGTACTCGTGGCCGGCGAATCATGAATTCGAGCCCTATTGTTCCTGAAGATCCCCCGTTTTGAGGAGCTGGTACACATTAAATATGTCGTGACTCAAAAGTCCTACCGTTGATATGGTGCGGTAGTCTGGAGATCCAGTGCCAGCTCAGATGTCTTCCGCACCACTTGACCGTCTTTAAAAATTACTAGGTCCGTCACCAGTAGCGCACACATGAATTCTTCAGGGGGGTCTAAGGTTGAAAGTCCACCATTCTTGTGTGTGTATCATGCTCCTTTGATTTTGTCGATTTTGGGGAACAAAAAACAGTAAAAAACTAATTATTGAATAAATGATTGGCATTAATTCATAAAATTAATCATTAATAACAAATATTTAATCAAATTTTGCGTACTTTATACTTAGAATTATAATCAATCGGGGGAAAAAATCAAAGGCTTTGGGGGGAGGGGGTTCGGACTCCTAGGACCCACCCCCATTGTGTGCGCCTCTTTCCGTCGCCAGTGTCCCTGGTGTTACTTTAGAGAACGACTTTTATAAGCATTCACTCTTACTAGTCATATTCAACATCATTTCAGATCATTTTAAATTGCGATACATACCACAACATTACTAAATGAGCAGACACTTATCTTGAGGCAGCTGGTTCACAACATTTAACCCGGGAAAACGGCTGCGGTAGTCCGGTGGTCAAGTAATCGGATCATGGCAAGCATGTCATGAGTTCGAGCCTAGTACCACTAAAGACACGCCGTGTAGGGCAGCGATGCACGTTAAATCTGTCGAGAGCTGAAACGTCCTCCCGTTGGTGTGGTGTGGTAGTTAGGAGAGGGGGTGCCAGCTCAGGTGTCGTCCACGTCACTTGACGATGATTCAAAGTTACGTGGTCCGTTGCCAAAAGCCCTCGTGCAACTGAACAGTACGACGTTAAATATTCACTCACTCGATACCAACGTCAGTGATCGCGCGGGATGACGGAGACACTCCGACTCTTTTTTTGTAATTATTTTTATTGTACACGATAAAAAGCGTAAAAAGAGAACTTGAGAGGATACTTTTAAGGATGTTTCAATTTTTGTCCCGGAAACTTTGCAAGAAGTCTTCTTTTGGAATGGAGTTCAAACGTTTCGTTGGATGTTAGGAATATCGTCAATGGTACGTTTTTCTCATCCCTAAATTGTGGGTAACGATTTATCACACAGATTCACGGTTATTCTGCAGCTATCCTGCGCACAGTTAATTGACGATCTTAAGTGATTAATTTCCTCAATGTTTTTTCGTCACTGACGGAGGTCGTCAGTCTTTCGCTACTGGGTTATCAGAAACACTTCCCCTGCTTTTCGAAAACTGGCGAACCACTTGTACACACACTTCATGGACAGTGCTTGATCTTCACAAACACGAACCAGCATCGCATAAGTTTCTTTTGGAGTCTTGCCAAGCTTAAAACAAAACTTTAAATTGATCTTTTACTCGTTCCTTTTCCTGTTCTCAGTTAGGAACCAACGCACTAAACAAGCACTTTGTAAAACAAATCTTACACGAAACACAAATGAGTCTCAAATCAACAACGGTGGGGGCAGATGGTCAACACCTGCTGCTACGCATGTGCAGTGTTTTGTTTCGCCAGTGTTGCGGTTTTGACTTCATTCACCGAACTTTACTGTCAGAGGTTGTGTAATACTGTCTACATCCCACTGTATCGTTAGTGTCCCAACATCCGTATTCAGGGTGATAGATAAAGTATACAGTTTCAATGTACTATAAATCGAGAACAATTTAAGATAGCATATGTTACTTGTATGGGATTATTTAAAGTTTTGTTAGAGAGAGTCACAGATGTTCCATGTGTGAACCCTTAGTCACACGACATACATTGAGTCTAATTCATCTCCACCCAAAACGTGCGTGAAGACATCTTAATTAAGTAACGGTTGGGAAGCACCGATTCACAGTTCCGCTAGATCAGCAAAACAAGAAATTCTAAAACAATTCCTACTGAGGTCAACAACAAAAAAATTTATTTTAGTTACTTTTTATTAAATAACTGCAATTTATATAAATATTTATATACATATGACAGAATCATAATTATTAAGTCGCAAAATAGAAAGCAATTTCCCTTTCTATATAGTGTTGGACTATTTTTGTTCTATTACTATTCCTTTATTCCTAAATCACATTCTCAGAAATTAGATCATCCCAGGTGGGATTCGAACCCACGATCTTTGGATAAGAAATCCAACGCACTACCCATTGCACTGCAGAGACCCAATGTGAACGGTTTTCCTTTCTGTTCGTGCTGTCGGACTATTATTTCTGTTTGCTGCTATGTGTTCATTTTTTAATTTAATGAATGAATTAATGTTTGAAAAAACTGTATAAACATCAAGTGTCATCCACTACACAAGTTTTAAAAAAATGTAATTGAACTTGAATGGATGAATAGCAAATATTTTATAAACGATTGAAAATTTGAACAAGATTATATATATATATATATATATATATATATATATATATATATATAGGGAGTGTGTGAACTATAATAGTAGGAATTGAAAAAAGAAGGACGAATACCTTGTCGTTTACGTAGCCGTAGTGGAACAAATCACGAGGTGTTAAGTCAGGACTTCTGCCATCGAGTAAGTGACATGCTGCATTCCATTCCTCGTCCAATTCATCGGTGAGGAATGGGTTCATCGAGGAGAGTTGGAGAATGAATTCATCCAACTGAGGTTGAAGTTGTCAATGTTGTCCTGCAACTGTAGCATCAGCGAAAAAGTTAACATATCCAAAAAATAAAAAAGTGGCCCGTGACATTGTACTAGATTCAAGAACACAAAAACCTTTCCCACAACAAACGCCGCCATTTTGACTGACTAGTCATGTGACATGTTTGCAGTTGCCTACGTCACTTCCGTCACGACGAGACACAAACTTTAAGAATACGTAAACCTTACGGGATTCGTGACCTCGGTAGCTTAGTAGTCAAGGTAAACGGACTCGCGGCTGGCGTGTCATGCGTTCGAGCCCAGTACCACTAGAGACCCGCCGTGTAGGGCAGCGATGCACGCTAAATCTGTCGAGAGTTCAAACGTCCTCCCGTTGGTGTGATGTGGAAGTTGGGAGAGAGGGTGTCAGCTCAGATGTCGTCCTCGTCACTTTACCATGGTTCAAAATGACGCGGTCAGTCGCCAAAAGATGTCGTATTTCTGAACAGTGCATCTTTAATAATCATCATTCACTCACAGTACACGATTCATTGAGATGATGCTTATATTTGATTGTTACTATTTGACAGAATATGGAAAGTGCATGCTTCTTTATAAATAATCCTGTACAACTACTATCACAGGCTCTGCCCTCTGTTGCAACTTTTGTCCAACAGAAATAGCAGCGGTAGCCTGGTGGTCATGATCACGTGATAGTGGCCAACAGTGGCGTCCACAAGGGGGGTTCTGGGGTTCGGACCCCCAAAAAAAGCCCTTGATTTTTTTCCGTTTGATTATAATTCTAAGTATATAATACGCAAAATTTAATTAAGTATTTGTTATTAATGATTAATTTTATTAAGTAATGCTAATTATTAATTCAATAATTAGTTTTTTACTGTGCTTTGTTCCCGAAAATCGACCAAATCAAAAAGAGCATGTTAAAGGAATGGTGAACTTTCGACCACGGACCCCCCCTCCCCCTTGAAAAATTGCTGTGTGCGCTACTGGTGGCCAACGTTAAAAAGTCTCGGGTTTTGTGAGCAATTTTAATGCTAATACACTCATGTAAACAAATTAAGGATAATTCAGAATCACACAGAAATTGAACTCTAAAATAAAAATTTCACCTGTAGAATTATGACACACATCTTGAAGAAGAATATGCAAATTACAGGAAACCACCACCACCAGATGGCGCGGATAGTACATCACAATGACAAGAGTGTAAGAGAGGGGTATATAAGGAATAGTGGCAAAAAAGTAAAGTTGTTCACAAGTGCTTTAAAAGCCCTTCAGTGCAATAACCGCATAGTTATGGCACAAAGGAAGCATTTGGATGATTTTTTACGTGGTAGAGTTATTGGACGACTGGAAAGTGGATATACCCAGCTGGAAGTATCCGAGGGAACTTGGAATCGCACAGAGGGTCATCTCCAGGCTTTGGCAACGATTCCAAGATGATGGTAATGTAAGTAGATGTTACAGCACAGGTCGCCCCCGAGTTACAACGCCGAATGAGGACCAGTATTTGGCAGTTACTGCCACAAGAAATAGACGGAACACAGCATCAGACCTGTCTCGTCAGCTCTCTTCAGCTACCGGTACGACAGTTTCAAGGCAGACCGTGTACAGACGCTTAGGGCACATTGGTCTATATGCTCGTAGGCCTGTCAGATGTGTGTTTCACTTACTGCAACTCACTGTCGCCTGCGGTTAACCTGGAGTAGAGAACGTGCATTGTGGACACCACAACAGTGGTCTTGTGTGATGTTTTCCGTCGAGTCCAGGTTTAGTTTGCAGTCTAATTCACGTCGTACTTTAATATGGAGAGCGCCAGGTACCCGTTACCACCAAGAGAACACCATTGAACGACACCGTTACGGTGGTGCAGGATGGCTCGTTTGGGGAGGAATCATTCTTCGTTCCAGAACTGACCTGCGTGTTCAGAGTGTAACGATGACAGGCCACATCTATCGTGATGTCATTCTGGAACAACATGTAGGTTTTTGTGTCGGGGTGCCATGGGTGCTAAATTTCTGTTTATGGATGACAACGCCCGTCCTCACCGTGCAAACATTGTAGACGAATGCCTTCAATCGGAGGATATCCCCCGTATGGATTGGCCAGAATACTCACCGGACTTGAATCCAATAGAGTATGTGTGGAATATGCTTGGCCAACGAATTGCAGCCCGTCAACCCCCTCCCACCTGTCTACCGGAGCTTCGGAGGGCATTGCTTGATGAGTGGTGTAATATTCCCCAAGATCAGATTGATAATTTGATACTCAGCACGTCTAGGTGTTGTAAGGCCTGTATTGCATCGTCCGGGAGACATACTCCGTATTAATTATCATACTAACCATGTTATACCGTTTTTTGTAAATAGTTTCTTTTTTGAAATTTGCTCCAGGGAGTAAAAATCGCAATTTTTATTAATTATGTCAAACATATAGCATCTTTTTTTGCTCTTTACCTTTTGTTTAAGAAATGGACTTTACAAATAAGTCAAATTTGTTTTGCTTCTGTCTCACTCTTTGCCTGAACTTCATTATCCTTAATTTATGGACATGAGTGTATTTTTGAACAAGAATTTTAGACACATTTTTTTTCTAATTATTTGCTATGATCAGAGAAAAATCACATTTTGCGCACAAGATGCTATTTTCTTCTTTTTAAAACATATTCATTCTTCTTTTGCGCATGAGTGTTTGAAAATTAGATTTATCCGTGCTTTAACACTTGTCTTAATGAAATATATATGTTAGTTTTTATAGTAAAACTTACTTTTCAGTTCAAGAGAGCTCCGGTTGCATCATACCATTTTACTTTATATGCTGTTACCTTTGGGGTATTGGTGTTTTGTTTCATTTATGAAGTGAGTATTCTTTTTTCTTTTACAATAATTATATTAAATTATATGGTTTCTTGATTGTTTTCTTGTATTATTGGAGTGAAATACATTGATGTGATTTTTCTGGATTTCATAACAACGTTTTCCTGGCAATTTTTTAGAAACTACTCACGAGATACTATTTTTTCATAACTTATAATTTATTTTGCTTTAATGATAGTCAGATTTTATATTTAATTTTAGTCGGCTAGGTAGCTTAGAGGTAGCATAACTGCCTCGTAAACTTAAGTTTACGAGTTCAACGCCGGCTGGAGTCGATAGGTTTTCTGGATGTTAAAATCGTAGGCACGCATGTTATATGTTTATGTGGTAATCCTTTGAGTATCAATTTGGCTCTTGATTTAAAATTAATTCAAGTGTCCAAATTTGGTAGAGAAAGCCGTCACTAGATGGTATCACTACCGAAATGGCTCTCACTTTTACGGGATTTGCCATGTCTGCTAAGGCTTGCGTTCTGAAATGTAACCCCATTTGAAGAGAAAATTTATTTGGTGATTTGTTTTAATAATCATCGGTTGCATTCTACTTTTTATTTTATTCGGTTTGAATATTTTAATTGCCAAAATATTTATATGAGAATGACACCGTAATTTTCTTTGAATTTCGATTGATAAGAATTTCAGCAAAATGTCTGTAAAAAAAATTCAGTGTTTCTTTGAAGACTTAGTTTTTTATTTTTCTTCAACGATGTGGGCATGATTTGATCCTATTTTAGCACACATCATTATGAGTCGTCAACTTAGCGAATTATTGTCGCCATATTAGATTACAGCTCTAAACCCTTTGGGTGAGCTCGATTCTCTGGAGTAAGTAAGTAAGTAAGAGAAGTTAGAGTAATTACGCACCATTTTTTATGTGTAACTTCTTTCCTCTCGGTTGCTAGATATTTGTCGGAGTGATTTCGCGAAAAGAGACGGAAATGGGTGGCAGGAAGTGACGTCAATGGGAACTTGGTGAGACAGCCAAGTTTTCATCATATTTGGCGACCAAGTTAGCCGCCAATTTGGCGACTATTTTGGCGACATTGACGACCATGTTGGCGAGTTCAGGACCCTCTGGATTCTTCTAGAAATTAGTGGGAACTTTTTTAGTATTTTTCCAGTGTCATTGGGGTCCATATAGTATTAATAACCAGAAGAATTTAATATTAGAAGATAAAAATAATTCGGGTCTTAAAGGGATATACCGAAGGTGGTTCTGTTCTTTTTTTAAAAAAAAAAACTTTCACTCGCTTCCCATGATTTTGAGTGGTGATTTTAATTTTAACATCGGTTTGCCAAAAGCTGAGCCACTCATAGCTTTTTTGAATGATGAACTCAAGCTCGAAATGAACACAAATCAAAATGTTTCGACAGCTAACAGTGGTGTTTTTCAACGGTTTTTAAATACTTTGAAATCACAAGTATATGTGTCATATTTTAGTTATCATAAGTCTATTATCACCGCTCTTCCCTGAATTGAACAAGAATAATTATTTTTGATAAAAAAAAATTACATTTTACTCCTCGTGTTAATTAAATAAAACTTTCATTAAAGATGTAGTTATTCGATTAAAAATTATTTCCAATCATACCCGATTAATTTTTTTCAGGATATAAGTTACTATTGCGTATTTATCACGACAACATGTCAGATGCTACAC